ATTCATTTGTTGCGAATTTTTATTCTAAAGAGGATAAATCCCAGTGCTTTTGAGTTTTAAACAGTGACATAATGTACAAAAACAGAAACTTGTACGGGAGCTTTCACCTTACTATGATCTGAATTATACGAAATTTTAAGTTACCTGCTGGCGAGACAACTTAGATACACCAGAGCAAGGATTAGAACAGATCCAAGTCTCATTGTCAAAATCTCTTGATTCTTGTCTTCTGAAAATTCTTCACGGCTTTGTTTTCAATCTTCACTCTTCTTGACTCCAAACTGAAATTGCTGTGTTTGGAGTGCGACCCTTTTTATATATACTCTCGTATCTTGGGGGTGGTTTGACTTCATCCTTGGTCTCGACTCACAAACAAGAATAAAAATAGCATTAGTGTCAGCATTGTAATCATTAATGTAATCCTCATGTTTTCGAGCATTGATCAAGTCTTTGTAGTTGCTTCAGCTCCTGATGTGTGCTTTTCCTATTGTGAAAGAGTCAAACAGCAATTGTTAAAAAAAGACTTATGGTATTACAGGAATGTACTCAATAAAACAAAATCAGAGTTTATAACAGAAAGTCAGAACTGATATTCCTTTTGTGCCTTTGCTCTGCCTAGAATACATGCATAACTCCAATAAATTATTACATTCAATTTAATTATGCCGTATTTTAGGAGGGTTGACATGTTAATCTTTCACATTTCTCTAATAGATAATATGGGCCTCCATGCAAAATGTTAGTTGAAAATTACATGAATTTAATTAACAAGACTATTAGAAATTGACATAAATTGATAAATAAAAAATGAAATAGTCTAATAATATAACAAACTATACGAAATATTTGGAATTAGCCTCGATTACAATACAAAAAAGTCGGTTTTCTTTGATGTAAGCTCATGAGTAAATAATTGAAATTGATGAAAACAGAACATCTATAAAATTTATTGGGTACATCTTTCTAATGTGGACCCTTCTAATACGGAGACCTCTCTAATACATATACTTACTGTATAGCTCTATAAATAACCTGCCATGCAGTGAAACAATTTAGGGATTGGAAAATGAGATGTAATCCGTATATGTAAGGATTCAAATTTGTGAAATTCATACCATGGGAAACTATATAAAATTTCAGATGACGTAATTCAATCTCCATCGGAAAATATTAAACTATTAGCGGAATTAAGGTTAAAAATTCACGATTTATGATTAATTGTTTGTACCCGACTTACTGGCTTAAGTATTCGTTAAACATGTCATGAGGACTTTTAGTTATATAAAGCTGACTTACATAGTTTTATAATCTTGTGTCAGCTTGTTCCAGCTTCAAATGGGCAAATTTCTTGCACAAGCATGCAGTTATCAAATTCATATCACAGAAGTGCATGGTATAAAGGACATGTGCATGTGACAGCTTTTGTAAAGCTTTTTGGCCAGAGGTCCATGCATGCATGGATATTTATTTTTTCAATTGTTATTTGAGGTTGTGTAATTATTGCTTTTTAATCGTTGGAACAGCAAAATATTTACCCAGAAAAACATTTCTCTTCGCAGGGCCTCTCCCCGCTCGAGTGACCGCTCCCTAACGTTGTATATAATTGCTTGGAAAGCTTTAAAACAACAGATCAGCATGGACCTCACAATTCATAAAAAGAAACTTTAATTTGCAAACACTAAAGTTAATCTGGTTTATATCATCAATCAACGACCAATTTTAGGAAACTTTGAAAAATCCGGTGGTAGTGCTATCTGGCTTTCGTACAACCCGCCCTTTTAATAAAAAGGATCCAACCTCGTTGACAAAGCTGCATCCATACTTTCTTGTATTCTCTCACGTTCTCGACATCCCATCTTATAAAAGTCAGCACAGAATTGTCTTTATTATATGCACGCGTAACTGTATGGAGAAAAGGCTCTCATTGAGACTTAGCCACAGTAATTTCTTAAAATATGCCCTGATCCTGTAAAGATTACAATATATAAATGCGTTAACATATATCGTCGTCGGATTTTACATGTAAGGCACTCCACATATTTAGAGAATATGTACAGAGACAAATGTTTTAATCTAACCATAATACACATCTAAACTTCTTAAGGTCTTTAAATATAAAATTGTGTTTATAAAACTAAAGAACTAGTCAAAATTACTAAACAGTTTCCATGCCAATATATTTTCGGTTATTTACGTATTCGTTCTTTCAAAATCAAGAACAAAAATTTCATTGACACAAGGATTAGTCGGCAATAAGTGTTGAATTTGGATTAAATCTAAGCCACTTTTTAAAATAATATTTACTGGTATATGAAAAGATATTTGTGGTTTGTGGAAATAAACCATATCTAGCTGAAGTTACAAGCTGAAGGAAGGCTGTGTGTGTTGACATTTACGATTATGTGGCACCACCAGCTAATTTCCATATCGAAAGCATAAAAGTGAAGTGTTGGGCAAGCTGAAATCAATTTCATTTTGGAAATCGTACCACTGGAGACTCGAAAGAAAAATTTGAAGAGAGAAGATGAAGTTTGGCATTGCAATCCTTGTTGCTTTGGTGGTCCTGATTGGTCAAGGACCCACTAGAATCTCTTTAAGTGAAATTTTGTACTTCGTATAGTAGTGATGGGCGATACCAGGATTTTTAATTCGATACCGATACCGATACCTATTTCGATACGAAAATAAACACAAAATTTCAATTTTCGATACCGGAAGTGAGTACTTAGATTGCTAGTATCGGCTACTTTCGATACCTACCGGTCACCGGAAAAACATTTTACATTAAAGCCCGAAACTTAATAAATATTTTCTATACATGACTTGGCGCACCACATTTGCAATATTAAGAGTTATTTTAGTAAGTCTTTTTCAAACAAGAAGTGAAATTAAACAAGTTGTTTAGAAAAGGGTGCAAGTATCGAACGATACCGCGTCAGTAATCGATACCGATACCGCTGTTTGTGGTATCGCTGGTATCGAATACCGAGTACTCGGTATCGCCCATCACTACTTCGTAGTAAAAAGACTTTAAAATGCATAATATACTACATGGACTAGACTTTTACCTCGGCTTTTCCGGCCTTGGAGCTATATCAACACCATGTTTATAAGTGTAGAACTGAACTTAAAGCTAAAGGGAGTAAAGAGTAAAGTTTTGAATATTTTAGTGAATGGCGCAGAAAGCGATGTGGTTCGTGTTTTTGACGAAAAACTGCGTCTCACTATATAAAGAGATGCAAGATTATCTCGAGCAAGCTGACCTGGAAAAGTATGGATTCACGAAAACTGTCGAAGTCTCCACTGAAACCGATGAAAACGGCAAGACAACCACGAAGAAAACCATTTACTACAAGGTCACTGGTGATTGCTCTAGAGTTATGTTTTGGGAAGGAGTTTTGGAAAAACGCATGCCAGAGGAGTTGCAAGCTTCGAAGCTCTCTTCAACTTCTGTCAAAGAAGTGAAAAGTCGTATCGCTGGCCGCAAGACGAAAAGCTGCATGATTATATTAGAAATCCATCCAAATCGATGTTTGAAGAAAATGTCCGGTAATGGGGTGAGCAAACGTGCTGCAGCTAGAGGTTGCGACGGCTGGTGCGCGGTCTGTTGGGGTGCGTCCATTCGATACTGTTATGGTGCGTTATTTATGCGTCAAATATATTTTCCAATTAGGTATATTTTCAACCTTTAGGCTTCGGGTTCAAATTATATTAACGCTACCGTAACACAAATAGCATGAAACCTTATACCTTTTATAT